ATAACCTACTCCACTAGACTATTTATACACAAAATTATATCTTCTAACAAAGATATAAAAAGATATAATAATATCCTCTAAAAGATATTCCTAAATATAAATCAATATCTAAATATAAATTAAATCTAAGACATATATGTTAAATTATAATATGAGATTTCACAAATAAAAAGTAAGTCTACTTTTAATATAATAAAAGAGATTATTATCATAATTATTTCATTAACCAAACAAAATCAGTTTAAACGTAGATTTACAAGGACTTAAAGGTAATTACATTCCTTAATATTACATATATTTTAAAATTTTCTTTACAGCATGATAATTATTAGTTTCCACTTCTCCATGTTTTGGAACCTACAATTCCAATACAGTTTTACGTATTCTCATAAGGTCTGCATACCCATTATATGAAGTAATGCAATGCCAACCAAATACTCACTAGAATAAACTCAAACAAAAAAACACTCTTTCACTCTGAAAAACTTCAACAACATTTCACAATCTTCATCATCTACAACACATCAACATCATTGTATCTTCAATAATATCTTTGTAATCTTCATCTGCATTAAATTGTTACAACCTTCATTTGCTTTAATCATCATCAAATCTACACTTACTATGTAGCATTCAATAACATCTTTGCACACTTTCGTCATCACCATTCCTCATCATGCAACAAGAACAATAACATAACGCTCAAGCAGAAACTCAAAAAAGGGAATCAAACAATAAGATCGTGAAAGTAGGCATAAGAAGAGAGGAAAACTGAAACGCAAAATCGAACATACCTAATAGCTTATCTGTATTTCTTATCATCTTCATCACCTTCGATCTTTTCCTCCAGTTTTGATGTGCTTTATTGTTCATTTGAGATGAGAGGGGGGAATACGAGTTTGAAAATGGAAATCAGAGAAGAAGTAAAAGCGGAACTGAGCAATGGTGAAGGAGTGGAATATCGGTTTGTGAATCGAATTAGAAAAAGTGAGACAAAGACGAAGCACAGATGGAGGACATGATGAACAGAGTGTTTGCAGCGGCGCAATATAGTTTTTATCGGAGAAGATGAGAAGTCGGGCGCGATGGTGTTGATGAGAAAAGAAAGATAACTTTTTTTTTTCACAATAAAGTTGAGAAGTCACAAACTCTTGAACCCTAACAATACGGTCCAAACGCTTGCGTTTGCGTTTCGTTCCTTTCATTTTTTTATTGTTTTTTTTATAATTGAAAAATAGATAATGCTGAAAGTAATAATTGAAAAAAAAACTGATGCTGGTGTGGATTGGGATAGGCCGAATCACCCTTGCTTGGCCCATGAATTATTTTTTTTACACTTGATGCTTACACAAAAAAAAACTAGTGATTATGGACTCTTATGGTTGGGCCTTTGTGCCATTATGTTGTATCAAACACCTTGACTCAACTTTACACCTCTGTTTTAGAATCAATTTTTTTCCTATTTTGTTTTCTACTAATTTATTTTTTTCATATTTTTTATATTGATGATAAAAATGATATAAAAATAGTAGAATATTTTAGAATTTTTTAAGATCTCTTTAGAATTTAATTGAGAATCTGTCCTTGTTTTCATGATTAACTTTAGTTGCTACTTTTTTTTTTGATTTTATGATTGAATGTTGATGCAAATTTTTGTGATATGAAATGCTTGAGCATTAATGTGATTGATCATGTGAAGCTTCTGCGAGTGTTCTTGAGCTTTTTTGTGCGTGTTAAAGAGACAAAGTGATAAAGTGGTTGTGCCAATTGGGAGGATCGTAAACCATAAACATTATGTCATTGATTATGAGATTGGAAAAGATGATAAAGTTTCTTTAACTATTTTTATCAATTGCAATGAGACTACTTTATTATTCATGCTTATTTGCCGAAGCGTCTTGAAAAGGAATCCAACAAAAGAAGATGAGACTATCATAGATATGGGATTTTTAATGAGATTTTTTAAAAAAAATTCGTAATGATATTATTATTTGTATTATTTGTACGAATAATTTTATTTACTTTTTTAACGTATCTATCTACGGCCATCAAATAGAAAATAATTTTTTTTCTATTTTATTTTAGGGTTTAATGTGTATTATATGTTTTTTTTTGTAATTAATGTATATTAATAATAATTAGTGAATATTAATTAATAAAATTTAAGGTGATTATTTTTTTAGAATAGTAATTAATCAATGATATTCAATTTAAATTTATGTTTTAAAATTTATTAAAGACGTTGGTTCAGAGATGGATTTTTTTATATTTTAAAATTGTTGTTTAACTTAAAATATTAACACATTCATTTAATTTTTTGTAACATTAATACATATATTTATTTTACTATTATCCCAAACATATTCCCAAAAAATTAATTTAGCTACAAATAATTGTAATTATAATTCTAAAGAAAGTATGGAATATTATTTTATAAATTAATTAGATGCAATATTTTTTTTCTTTATAATCTTTTAAGTTTTTTATAAATCTCTATCTACTTATCAATGCACTCAACTTTACGTGTTTCCCATAGAAACTTTCACTATTCCAATCATTTATTGTCTTTCTATTTCCAATCATTTATTGTCATTTTATTTCTAATATAGTAAATTAGGACGGTGCATTTCACTTATTGTCAATGAAAATATCAAGTGCATAGTAGAAATGAAGAGTTGGTACTTGCCCTTTTATTTCATTTTTGTTTTATTTCAAAGCGTTATTCCATTTATTTCATTTTTTTGTTTTATTTCAAAGCATTATTGATTTAACTTCCTAAAACAATAAAAATCGCCTTTTAGTATTCCAACAAATGGATAATTGAAATCATAATATTCAAAATTTGATATATTTCTTTCTTATTATTAATTAATATTATTAATTTTTTTTTGGGAAATAAAGATTATATATAACCAAAAAATAGTTTATACATAAGCGCGATCTATAGGGTCCAGTGAAACAACAAACAACCAATCACTTAAGGCAACATAAGTTGCGCTACTCTATTTTTATACTTAGGGAACATCTACATTCTATTCACAATATTATCTATAATTATGTCTTCAATATACTATCTTTTTGCACTTTGCTGTACATTGTATCATTTCTTTTCATCCACACCGCATAAATGGTCTCAGCAATTGCTATCTTCATGATCTGACTACGTCAGTTTTTGCTCTTGCAAATTCTAGTCAACTAATTCAGTTCATGGCTCCATCCTTGACTGATGTGTTTGACATTCATCCACCTGAGAATGTTTTCCCAAATCCTCTCAGTGTACCTGCAGTCAAATAGAAGATGTTGTATAATTTCAACACACTCATAGAATACACATTTTGGTATGTCTTAACCCCAAACTTCAGCAATTTCTCCTTGGTCGCTAGCCTGTTATGGCAGGAAAGCCAAAGCATAAACACAACCATGGGTCTGACCTTGTTTTTGTACATAATGCCTCTCCAATCCACCTTTGTGTGGTGTTGCTGGAATTCTAAGTAGAACTTTTTCACATGGAAACTCCCAGATTTCTTTAATAGCTCTCAAGTCTTCATATTGTTCACTTCACTTCTCATCTTCAGAATACCTTTAAGGATCCACGAGCCATTATCCTTAATGCCCATTTGCATTAGGTCAGAATTCTTGGCATAATAGGTATGGACCCATCGAATCTAAAGGCTATCATCCTTGCTACATAAGTTGTAAAGCTACCTAATCATACATACTTTGTTCCAAATATGCAAGTTAATTATGTCCAATCATTCATGTTTCTTAGGAAGGCACACCTTCTCCCAAGCAACATGAGATTTACGAGTAATAACATCTTTTTCAGACCATACGAAGGACTTGCACATAGCATCGAAATTTTTAATAATACCTTTAGGCATAATGAGGCAACTCATCCAGTAATTAATAGTGCTTATGACAACACTCTTCACCTGCTCCACCCTGCCAGCATAGCTAAGTAAATGGGAAATTCAATGCTTCAACTTCTCCCTAATTTTTTCAACAAGGGAAAGACACTGAGTATTAGACAGCTTCCTGCTAGTAAGGGGGATTCTCGAATATCTAAAAGGGAGATTCCTTTTACAAAATCCAATAATATGCTCTAATTCAATCTCCTCTTTCTTCTTCATCCCTCCACAAAATAACTTGCATTTCCTAGGATTAACATGCAGCCTTGTTGACATAGAGAACTATTGGAATCTATCCATCATCAACTTAATAGAAATATTGTCACCCCTGGAAAACATTAAAAGGTCGTCTACAAAGCTCAGGTCCACTAATTGCAACCTTTCACACTTGCTATAAAAGTTGAAATTAGGAATAGATCCCAAACTGTTTAATTTTCTGTGAAGATACTCCATAATAACCACAAACAACTAGGGGAGATAGGATCTCCTTGTCTTAAGCCCCTAGCTTCCTTCATACTGTCAGTAATTTTTCCATTGATGTTGAATTGGTATGTCACTGTAGTAACAACCTGCATAACCCAGCTGATGAATCTTTTAGAAAAACCAATCTCAACAAGGATAGTTTAAAGGGTCCTCCAGTCTACAGAATCATAGGTCTTCTTAATATCCATCTGCACCATGCATTTGGGTATTCCACCTTTCCTGCTATACCCTTTAATCAGCTCATAGGCAATCAAAATGTGATCATGGATATTTTGACCAGGCATAACCCAGCTGATGAATCTTTTAGAAAAACCAATCTCAACAACGATAGTTTAAAGGGCCCTCCAGTCTACAGAATCATAGGTCTTCTTAATATCCATCTGCACCATGCATTTGGGTATTCCACCTTTCCTGCTATACCCTTTAATCAGCTCATAGGCAATCAAAATGTGATCATGGATATTTTGACCAGGCATAACAGCTGCTTGGTTCTTACTAATTATAGTCTCCAACACCTTGCTCATTTTATTAGCCATGATCTTTGATATCACTTTATACATAGTTGTGCAGCATGAGATAGCTTTGAATTCTCTAATGTTGGTAGTTGTATCATTTTTGGGGATAAGGGTAACCAGAGTTTTGCCATCCTTTATCCTCGTCGAAGAAGTTCCTCACAGTATTTATGACATCATCCTTTACCATGTTCCAAGAGTGCTTGAAGAGCTTGGACCCATACCCATCAATCCCAGGGGCAGTGAGATCACCAATACTTCTTAAAGCAATTTCCACTTCTTTCTCACAAACTTTGCTAATCAACGTGGTTATTTGCTCCTTGTTTAGCTGCTTGCCTATTCTCATAGATACAATGTCCACACCCATCATATTATTATATGTAGTACCCATGAGACTTTTGTAGAAGTCCATAGCCTTCTTCTCAATAGCTGCTTGAGTATCACAGATCCCCCATCCTCTTTTAGTAATCTACTGATCATTTTATGTTTATGTTTACTTTTTAGGGTAGCATGGAAAATAAGAGTTATTTCCATCTTCCCTTCTAATCCACTCAATCTTAGCTTTCTGCCTCATAACATGTTCCTCCAGATCACTGAGATTCAGCAGGCTCTATGTACAATGCTTTTCCTACAAAACCAAGCTAGCATTCATCTTGTCATTTCTCAAATTATGTTGGATATCAGTAAGTTGCTCCCTCTTCTGATCAATTTGTCTTTTAATGTTCAATAGGGGTTTATGAAGCTTCCTAATAATGGGCTTAAGTCTCATAAGTTTGTTCCACAGTTTCTGACATTGGCTACCTTTAACAGGTTTCTGCTAGCTATCTCCCACTTCTTTTATGTAACCTCCCATCTCTATAACTGCATTAATGAACTTAAAACCAACTTTGGTTCTACTAATGTGCTCCTCACCCTTAATGTATACAAGGGCATGATCTGACACCCAAGGTTCCATCATATACACAGTTTCGTCACAATTCTTTAGAATCCACTCCAAATTGCCAATAACTCTCCAATGCAAGAATAAATTTCCCCTTCAGATTGCTTGTTATACCAAGTTAATTTAGCAGCTCCAATGGATTCATCCACATGCATATCTGCAAACCCTTTGGAAGAAATTAGTAAATTTAGCAGCTCGAAATGCACAAACCTATAATTAAAATTTTATTTATCATGGTAAATTTTTAAAAACTTTATAAACATTTAAAACTATGTCTGAATCTTTATCTTAACCACCTGTGGGAAATATTTATGCGGTCAACGCAGAAAAATATGATAAGACTGAATGGAGAGGGACCAACCAAATTTCATTACAGAAAAAACACATGAAAATGAATGTTAGTGCAATTTTATACCATTATTACTTGACAGAAATTTAATATGATATGTCTTCTCAAGGCAAAATTCAATGTGAAAATTCCACAAAAAATAATGAAAATCTAGCTCTCTGACACCTTCAATTTGATATTAAACTTTATTTGGTCTCTAAAAGTCTTTCTCTAAAACTGGAATAAAACCAGAAGGCAAAAAGTGTTTATATGCACACAAGGATTTTCCTCATTCAGGCCTGTCTAAATGACCATATCGTCTTTGCCAGTATTGTGAAGCTTCATATCGTGTTCTGAAATTCCAGATGTGTGGCTTTGATTTCTCGTGAGCTTCGAGGATTTCCTGCATGCAGACATACAACTTGTTAATCCAAGAAAATGTGTAAAGTTGTTTGAGGAAAAACACAATTCAAGAGTGTTGTTTTCATTAAACTACTTGTACAATATGATCATATTAAATTTATATGTAGTTATAAAATTGACTAACTATAGTTTTATAATTGTGATTGGGCCTAACTCAACCTTACAAAATCAGCTTGTAAGGCGAGGATTGTCCCACTTATAAACATATGTTCAGACCATATATTGTCTGATGTGGAACTCTTAACATATAGTAACTAGTAGTAAAAAAAATTAACTGCCGCTAACAACTAACTGATAACTAACATAACTATAATCAAAGAAATTAACCTTTATTATAATCTGCAATAAAAACATAGATAAACTACCATGCCTGATCAGTTAAACCATGCAACTGGTGCATGGTAAAATGATGGATATAAAAACAAGAGCAACATTAAAGAGCTCTTATCAATTTCATAGTGCTTTCACCATTCACAGAAGAGCAATAAGGGCATCATATAGAAAGACAAAAGTAGAAATGAAGAGACTTTGTAATAAGACAGAGTTGAAATGGTAGTTTCTTAACTCTCTTCTAGCAACAAACATGAAATAACAAAATGCCAAAATTTTAGTACAAACAGTAAGGCACCCCTATATTGATGATTTTAAGCATTGCACTGTCAAATATCCATTTTACGATCTCGGTTTTGCTCTTTCAGGCCACAAGAACACACACATTCACTCGGTGGGAAATATGTTGAGGTATCCAATACATGAAGGATGAAACCACACAGCATATCAATTGTTCTATTGAGGTAATCAAACAGCAGAATAATTTGTGGGAATAATCAAGAGTCAAGACATGCAATGGGGTGGTATCTGACTTTCTGTGCGCCAGCAAGGTGGCAAATATGTTGTGCAAAATCCTCCAAGCCCACATAAAAAAAAAAATGCACTGTGGCTATAACATCCATACAAATAGAGTTGGAAAACAAAAATAGCAAAACCACGCATACTCTTCAATTTTCCCAAACACAAGCAAAGGTGCTCTCAAATACAGCAAAGAGGACCATGTTCAAAGAATATTTAACCCAATGTATTTAAACATTTTCAACATATATCAGCTACAAATTAATGAGGAAGAAATAGGAACCAACCTCGACTTGAGAACTGGGTTTGGTCTTGAGCATTAAGCAGTCAACCATTGCTTTCCATTTACCAGAACAGTTATCAAGAACACCAAGCCTGTAATACTGCTGCATTTGATGAACCGGGGCTGCACACATTAAACACACAACCTGTATCAGTACTGGGATGGATGACCCATATGAAAAAGAGGCATTTTTAAAGTTTTGAGTGAATGGCGATTACAGTAGCAGAACCAGAGGGCATCAAAGTGAGCAGTGCACGATAGTCTGCGTTTCTCTTTGGAGCTTGAAGCTTCCTTCTCAGACGACATAACTGCAACTATCTGAAAATTGAAGCATCCAATAGCTTATTAGATTTTGGGGCTTTACAAAACAATCTCCCAAAAGATGGAAGCAACAACGGTGATGATTTTGGGAGGTTGAAGAAATGATCGAAAGAGATGTCTGTGGATTGTGTTCGCTTTGGGGCGGAGCTGCTAGTTCTCACTGATCGGAGGAAAAGATGAAGAAGTCGTATTTTGAAGGAGAAGTGCAAAAGACACTCTCTAGAACCCTAATCCCTTTTCACTAAAACGCTGCATTTCCAATTTTTATTCTTTTTTTCTTCACTTTTTTTAATAAGTATGAAATAGTAAGTAAATATTAAATAGGATGGTTGGATCTGAACATGAATTCGATGGGCCTTGGGACTTGTTTGAAACATTGTAAGCACAACACTATTTTTTTGGGAGCCTGGATAGTTGTGTAACAAAAACTACTTGATGGACCTTTGTTCTGATTGGCCATTCGCTACAATATACCCCCAGAAGCCCATCATTTTTAGACCATGTGGAAGTTGAATAAAAAAACTACTTTGGGCCTCATCCTGACCCTGGGCCTTCCGTTTCTTATTTTGAGCATACCTGAGTCAGAATTTCACACCTCCCTCTATTTTCTCATTCATTTAATATTTCCCTTTCATTTGTGTGATATTGATCAAATGAGATGCTTGAGTATTGAGGATTGTCTTGCATTGAAATGCCATGCTCCTTTAGGATTCCATGAGACGATTAATCTCCCTTTTGATTGTTTTATGTTGATTATACCCTAGGATGTTGATACAAGCATGACGATATTAGAATAGCTTTCCCTTTAACTCAACCTTCGAATCATTTGAGATATTCTCCAAACCAAGTACCCAAACTCATTCAAATAATTTTGTGCCCTTTGTGCACTTTTCTCTTAAAAATATTTTCTCAAAAGATTAGACTCTTGTCAATCCTTGTAATGATGCGAGCTACTATACTTCTACGATATGTAGTGAGATATTTTTCACTTGGGTTATGGTCTCAGTAATTCCAAACCTACACATAATATGACTCTGAATAAAATTGTCACAACATCTTTATCAACATTCGTCAAAGGCACCGCTTCGACCCATTTGGTAAAATAATTTATGCCTACTAAGATGTCCCTTAGACGGTGTAGGTCGAATTTCATGAACTAAATCTAATGCCAAATCTATAAAAGGCCAAGGCTTAATAATCAAGTGTAACTCAGTGGCAGGAACATTATGTTGGATCCCTGCATGATTTTGGCATTCTTGACACCCTTTGAAAGTATGCAGTCTTTTAGCATAGTTGGCCAATACACACCTTGTCGAAACAAAAGTCACTTTATTTTTTGGCATGCTTGATGGGCGCCATAAGATCTGTAACACCTCATTTCTACCCGACGAATTATGTAAAATAAGAGTTACAAAATTTCCAACAAACAAATGGAATACTACACTTTCAACTTGTAAACAACGAAATTCAATCACCTATAGTTCATATACATAACACATAAAATTCGGATGAACCGATAACAACCTGTTTAGTCTTTAAAAATAAAACAACTTTCGTTGCCACGCAACGGATTCGCAAATTCAACTGAAAACACCATAACATCTTGTCCAACTTAAAACAGCTTTAAGACAATAAGTCTTTAATGAAAACAACTTAAAAATTCAGAAGCATAATGAAAACCAACAATAAAGAAAACATGCGTTCTTCTCCCCCCCCCCCCAGAGTGCTATGTATCAGAGCGACAACACCGACTCGAACTAATGAAGGTAACACTATCCTTCTTGATTACTTGCACGTTACCAACAGAGGAAAATATTCAAACAGAAGGGGTGAGATATCAAACCATATAATTGAGTGTATGATACAAAATTTATTAGATCAGATTATATAAAATCACCACTTCACAACTTTCAACTAACATCAATCATCACAAGTCAACAACACAACACGTTAAATATGCAACACGGAATGCTACTCGTTATAATGCATATGCATGTGGTACCAATGGAGTAAAAATCTCAACTTAGAAATCTGTCAATTAATAGAGGCATCAACAAGGCATAAGCCTTCAACTTAATTTGTCAATCCAGACCAACTTACCGAGCATCAACTCCAACTAGATATACTATGTATGCGATTCAATATGAATGTCAGGATAGCAACAACAAAATTCCATAGCATCACAACAACAAACCAACATTGGCCATAAGCCCACAACTTAATATTTTGTCCATAAATAGAGACAATAATATCACCTGCTAATTCACA